ACAGTGTAGTCCCGCGGTGCTCGTGGCTCTTGCCTTGGCGCCGTTTGCTTTTCTGTGACGTGGGGCTGGGGAGCTGAGACTGGAAGGATGCCAGTTATCTGGGGCCCTGCTGCTCCTCTGTGACTTACGGTCGTGACTGCTCCTAACTCATGCATGACGGACACGTTGAAGTTACGTGCTGACACGTTTCCTGGCTTTTATTGACAGGAAGCTGCCCTGGGCTGTGTCCCCGTTGGAACACAGGGCAGCGCCTCTGCTGAGTCACCTGCGGCTCAGGGTCTGGCTCAACTTAAAAGCACCTGCCCTTTCTTCAGCGCCAACTGTACATGAGGCTGGGTGCTGAGCCTACAGTGTAACTCTCACCACTCCCTCACAGGATGAGCACACCCACTCTCCTGTCTCCAGTCTATAAATGGGGAGAAATTGAGGCTGCAGGAAAGAGAGAACCAGGATCCACCCTCAGGTGGGTCACGTTCCAAAGTCCACACTCTTTCCAGTCTGCTGTGCCTTCTCCCTCACCTGGAGGGTGCTCAGAGAATGTATGAGTGGCAGAGGATGGACAACATATTCACCGGTAATAGAGCCCTGAGTTTTAGCAGAAAACAGGGTAGCTAAGTTAGTAATGACTCTCTGTTCGCAGCTTGCCTTACAGTAGTATAGGACATGTGGCTAACTCCAGCCAATAGAATGAAAATGGAAATGGCAGGAAAGAGTCTGGTTTGTGCCCTTAAAGGGGCCAACTTCTACTGCCTTTTCTCAACTTCCCACTGGTAGGATTGTAGATATGATGGCAGTGCTCCGGCAGCCACTTTGGACCATGAGCAGGAAACTGCTGGTTGGAGATGGAAGAGCTATAAGATAGAAAGAGTCCGGGTGCCTGACACCATCCAAACTTGGACAGCTTTTATTCAGATGTTGTGACACAGAAAAATGAACTGTTTTCTTGTCTAGGAGACCTTTGTTATTTGAGCCTTTCTTAGAGCATTGAGCCTGCATTTCACCAATGCCTTTATTAATTGATTGAATTAGGTGATTAAGTAACATAGACAGCAGTCCAACCCAGGCCTGCGCACATATAAAAATGTATAAAGACCAAATTCAAGCTGAGGGTGAAGGCACTGTCCAAGCACAGAAGAAAAATTCATGGGTGGAGGTCGCCATTTCCAAACCTGGGCTTTCTATGAGCTTGCTGTGTTTCCCTGGGCAATACATGGGCTCTGTCCAGGCCCCACACTCCCCGGGTGTGATCCAGGCTTGGCAAGTTCACGGACTCCATGTAGTTTAAAGATGTCTAACGCCCTTTACAATTCTATTTCTAGGACTCCATTCCTGGAGAAATTGCCACCTCGTAGCCCATAAACACAGGTGCAAGGATGTAGCTTGTGGAGCAAAAACTTGGAAATATCCATAGAGATGATTTAAATAAACGATGGCACATTCCTGGTTTGGAGCACTGAACTGCTGACTGTGGCCCTGAGGAATTCCCTGCTGACGCTCGCTGGCACAAAAGGTTACTGTAGCCCAGCAGCCAGGCAGCGGGAACTTCCAGAACAGGAGAGGCTCTGGGGAGCTGTGTGGGTAGTTTTCGAAGCCACAGAACAGGGGGAGACATGGAGGGCAGGCCAAGGCCAGGAGGTTGGCCTGGGTCTGAGTTCCAGCTTCACCACTTCCTGGCTGGGTGAGCGAACACAGAGCACCGGCCTGCCCTGGGCTTCAGTTTCCTTTTCTATAAAATAAGGACCCCAGGGCCCATCTTACAGATGTCTGGTGAGGATTCAAGGAGTGACAATTTATTGGATTATTTATTGAACCAACACTGGGTACCAGTGATGTCAGTGATTGATTGGGAATTTTGTTTAGGTACTAAGGGTACCTAGGACGCGGATCCTGCCTTCATGCAGCTTGCAGTCTAGTGGGGGGACGACAATAAAGAAGTAAACGTGCATATAAGAAAATTTCAGCCCTGGCTGGTGTGGCTCGGTTGGAGCATCATCCCATAGACTGAAAAGGTTGTGGGTTCGATTCCTGGTCAGGGCACATACCCAGGTTGTTCATTCAAACCCCAGTAGGGAGCGTGTATGGGAAGACAATAAAGTCTGTTTCTCTCTCTCTCTCTTTCTAAAAGCAACGAAAATTTGTCCTTGGGTGAGGATTAAAAAAAAAAACAACAGGAGATTTCAGGTGTTGTTGACACTTTGAAGGAAACTACAGCAGGAGCGGGACCTGTGGGGGTGGAGGGAGGCACTGTGTCCTGGGGAGGGCGTCTCCGAGGAGGCCTGAGCAGGGCCTGGCGCCGCTGCATCTTGTGTGTGCAGATGCAGTGCCGGCGGGAGAATCCGGCTCATCCTAAGTGCACAGTAAGAGGTGGGGCACGGTCTTAGCCGGCAGAGGGATTAGAAGGGAGAATCGATTGCCCAGGCTCCAGTGCGGTCGTGGAGAGTGAGAAGATCCCTAGGGCCTGGTGGGTGGCGAAGCGGCTGCTCCCTGAGCAGGCCCAGCTCTGGGAGGTCTCGGGCAAGTCGCCGCCTGGGCCTCTGTTCCCTCATTTGGAAAACGGTGCTAATGCCCACCTTGTGAGAGCAGGCATGTCATGGGCTGACTGCGTCCCCCCACAATTCATGTGTTGAAGCCCCAGCTCCCAGCACCTCGGAACGCGGCTGTATTTGGAAATAGGGCCTTCAGCGAGGCGATTAGGTTAGAATGAGGTCATTGGCATAAGCCCTCATTTGATGTGATGGTCACCTTCTAAGAGGAGGAGATTTGGACACAGAGACGAGTCCAGAAGGAAGACCATGTGAAGAGGGAGAGAAGAGAGCCGCCTGCCAGCCAAGGACAGAGGTCTCGGAAGGAAGCCCTGCTGATGTCTGACTTGCAGCCTCTAGAACTGAGAAAACGCCGTGCGTTTCTGTGGGTTAAGCCACACAGCCTGTGGTACTTTGTTATGGCCAGTGCAGGGTGACAGACGCAGGGCGAGGGACGTGGACAGGTGCACAGGAGGCCCCTGATGGAGCCTGGTGTCCTTGGCCTGGCCACGTGGAGCTTCTTAGCTGAGCTTGGGCCGGGCTCATCCATCCCCAGCAAGACTCGGAGTCGGTCAGTAGTCTTGAGATGACTGAGGTGACTCTGCCTCGGGGCCCACGCTGTGCCCCAGGGTTGGCCCAGACTTGGGACCCAGCTCACTTAATTTCTGCCCTCCCCTCTGGTCCACTGCTCAGTCAATCCACAGACCTCACATGATGCCACTGTGGCTCTTCTGTAAGTTGTGGTGTGGCTGGTGTACCAACCAGCTGGGGTCCAGTCTGGAGAATGGAGGCCGCTCTAGGAATTTTGGCCAGAAAGAACGGCGTACAGGGCATTGTGTATGCAGGTGCTGGGAGAGCTAGGACCCTCGTGGGGGCTTCCTGGTGGGAGCTGGAACCAGGAAGGGGGGCCTGTTGGGCAGGGACTGGTCCTCTTTGCTCTCAGACCCATTTCCTGCCCTTTCCTTGTTCTGCTCTGAATGAATTATGGAGGAGCTGACCCCTGCAGGCTGCATTTCCCAGGCTCCAGGTCAGCTGACTTCCCAGTGGCCAATGGGAGGCCAGAAATGGCGGGGGGGGGGCAGAGGCCAGAGTAATTCTCCCTTTCTCCTGACTGCACTCCCATCAGTGGCCGAGTCTCCTCCAGGCTCCAGCTCCCGCAGGACTGTCCACTGTGCTGCTTGCTTGGCTGGGTGACCCAGGCTACGGTAACAGGACCTCTCTCAGTCCCCCCAGCTTAGAGGTGGCAATAGCTTTCTGTCGCTGCCTATCTCTGAGCTTCTTTGCAGTCTATTGCTTGGCTTCTGGGGGCCTCCATCATCTCTGTAACTGCTTCCCTGTTGGAAAGTCTCTCTGTTTAAATGCTCAGCGGTTTCCAGGTTAAACAGTGATCGACAGGAGGAAAGACTATGAGAGAGAACTGGCCAGTGCCCAGCACAGCAGGCCTCTCCAGCCGCCTCTCCTTTCTCCTAGACAAAACCCCAGCAGCCTGCAGATTCGGAGAGGCAGCTGGGGGACCAGGAGGTGGCCCTTGAGTCAGACAGGCCTTGTTTTGTTCTCTCTCTGCCACTTGTCAGCTCTGCAAATGCCGTCAAATCACTTCCCCTGCACGACCTCAATTTCCTTCTCTGTCAGGGGGGCATAAGGGTCATACCCTCCGATTCAGTCCTGTTCTGAGGATTTGATGAGATGTAGCCACAACCTTAAAAAAGAACAGGAAAAAGGAGATTCCCCTACCAGCAGCTAAAAGGTAGACGCCATTAAAGTAAGTGGGGTGCGGCAGAGTAGGGGTCCAGAGCAGCCCGTGGGTATGGGAGGAGTGAGGACATGATGAAGGCCACCAGCAGCCCACCTGGGGGAGGAAGAATTGTTCAGAAGATGGTGCCGGGAAACCAGCTCCAGATACACTGGATCCTCACCTCACACTGTGAACCGGGGTGGACTCCGGGTGGAGTAAGACTTAAAGTGCAAACCTGCAACGTTAGTTGGAATTATGTGCACACAAGGGAATACTATTCAGCCCTGAAAAGGAAAACATTCTGACACATGCCATGACGTGGATGGATCTTGAAAACATTATGGTGAATGAAATAAGCCGGTCACAGAAGGACTCATAAAGTGTGATGGGCTTACACGAGGTACGTAGAGTAGTCAAATGCAGAGGGACAGAAAGTAGAGTGAAGGTGTCCAGGGCCTGTGGGGGGCGGGGGGCAGGAGGCAGAGATGGGGGTCAGTGTTTCATGGGCACAGAGTTGTTTCTCGGGGCGATGGAAGGTTCTGGAGGTGGCCGGTGATGATGGCTGCACAACACTGTGAATGCCTTTAATGCCACTAAATCGTACCTTTAAAAATGGCAAAAGTGGTACATTTTATGTTATCTGCATTTTACCATAATAGAATAGCACCGATATAGAAAAGGTATATAAAGCATTTAAAAATTTTTATTTTGATGACACCCAAATGAAAGGATTCTGGCCAAAGAATACCAAGGCCAACATCAACAGACAGGTGTCAGGGTGTGCAGACCCTGCAGTATCTAAAACAGCAATGCCGAGACAAGGCGGGGACACTAGAAATAACACAAAGACGGCAGCCTCAGTGGCAGGGGCAGGACAGGTGGGAGAGCAGTTTGCAGCAGGGAAAACCACAGGCTCAGGAAGAAGGCTCGAAAATATGAGCGACAGGAAATGCAAATGGAAAAAGCCAGGACAGAAGACCTCACACCGAGGAGGCTGATGGGTAAAATTAAAAAGTTGGACAGCACCCAGATGTGGGTTTCCAAATCTCCATTCTCCAGTAAAATGAATCTGGGCAGAGCTAAGAAAAGGAAAAAAAAATTGAGCCTGGGAACATCTTGTCCCCCAAAATAAGGACATGTTCAATGAATAATGGAGCTGTGGTCACATTAAATGGTGGACACGGGTCAGCTGAAAGGGGGCTCACACTGGCCAAGCCTGGGTCAGTTTGAGCACCAAAGTAAATGATGGTGGCGATGGATTTAGAGCCCATGGAATAACATGAAATCCACACTGATGTAAACAAACAGAGACAGAGCAGTACGGTTTTAAGATATGTCCACAAATGATCTGACACTTTCCTTCAGAGGCGGAATCTAATTTGCTCCTTCCTGACTGGGGCCAGACTCAGCGATTTGATTCTAATGGGTAGATTGTGCCAGAAAAGTAGGTCCTCAAAGGCACGTGCGTCTTTCTTGCCCTCTCTGGTCCCTTGCTCTGGGGAAAGACATGTCATGAGGACACGCGAGCAGCCCTGAGCTGTCCAGTACAGTGGCCACCAGCCACCTATGGCTGTCAGGCACCTGCCGTGTACCTGGTCTAAACTGGAATGTGCTGTGTTAAGGAGACACTGAGTTTCAAAGACAGCATGAAAAAAAAAAGATGTCAACTCTCCCCATACTTTTTCAAATTGAGAACATGTAGAAATGAGAAGGTCTTAGGTGTGCTGGGTTAAAGAAAATATACTATAAAAATGACTCACCTGTGGCTTTTTCAGCTGTGCCTACCCAAAAACTGGCCATTAAACATAAATATGTGGCTCAGGTTAGTTTTCCCAGACCACAGTGCTCTGGACTCAGCTGAGCTTCCAGATAACTCGGCCTGAACTCTTCGAAAGTGTCAAGGCCACGAATGAGGAAGAAAGGCCTGAGGGACTGCTCCCAACTCAAGCAGAACACGTGCAGACCCCCGCCCACCACACCCCCAACCGTGTCTTCATGAACGAGAGGTTGACACTCGTTTCTCTGTGTGGACACTTATACTCAGTGAAATGCACAGATCTCAGGTGGACTTTATGTTCTTTTCGACGAATGCATCTACCTGTGTTAGACAAACCCTTTCCAAGATACTGACCATGAAGTAGGTTGAACTGGGTCCCTCAAAAAGATACATCCCAGTCCTAACCCTTGGTACTTGTGAATGCAGCCTTACTTGGAAACAGGGTCTCGTGGATATAACCAAGTTAAGATGAGGTCAGGCCGGATTAGGGTGGGCCCGACCTCCAGGGAGTGGTGTCTTTACAAGAGAAAGGAGAAGGAGATCTGAACACAGACACTCGGGCAGTGGGGGAGGGGATGGCCATGCGGAGGTAGGGGCAGAGGCTGCAATGATGTATCTACAAGCCAGGGAGACGCCAAGGGCTGCCGGAAGCCACTGGTATCTGCAAGAGGCAAGGAGGAATTCTCCCAGAGAGTCTCCAGAGGGGACGTGGCCCCGATCCCAGATTCCTGGCCTCCAGAACTGCGAGAGAGTAGATGTACATTGTTTTAAGCCACCTAGCTTGTGGTGCTGTGTTATGGAAGCCGGAGAAAAGGAGCACAGGACATTAACCACAATCCCCCAAAGGCAGCTCAGGCCCCTGCCCAGTCAACCCTGCCCCCGCCCCCAGCCCAGCGGTGTCTTCCATCATGGACTAATTCTGCTTGTCCTACAGCTTCCTGTAGGTGGACCCATGTGGCCCGAATCCCTTTGTGGCTGGTACCTTTCACTTGGTACGAGGTTGTGGAGTCATCCAGATTGCTTCTTGCCTTTATCAGTGGTTGGCATGCCTGTAATGGAAGTCAGTTTGCTGGGTTTGAAGTTAAGGAGAGGAGTGGACAAGGAGGATGGGAAATTTCTCTTCAAAGCTGGGCTTGGAGTAGTACCCTGCCTTGGGGTCTCTGATCTCTCAGGCCCATCACCTACCTACCTGTGCTTTCTCAGCTCAGGTAGCAGCTGGGGAGGTTGGAGGCTGGGCTCCATCGCCACCTGGTGGCCATTCTGGGCAACGCAATCACACGTGCCCACACTGGGCCCAGATGGGTGGGGTCAGGCAAGTGTTTATTTTCTTGGATTGCATCCTCAAATCACTGAGCACCTACTGAGCACTTGCCTAAGTCCGTTGTGTGTGTGTGTGTACAGAGATGACCCAGGTCAGCCTGACCTCCAGGGGCTCCGAGAAGAGGGAGGTTACACAAAACTAACTCTAATGGGGGTGGAAGAAGGGCCTTGAGGCACAGAGTGCAGAGGGCAGAGGAAGCAGAGAGTAATTTGACATTCAGCGAAAGTTTTTCTGGCTATTTCTCAGCTGGAGTGACAGGGAAGGGTGTTAGAGGCAGAGGGAACAGCATGAATGAAGGTGTGGAGGCAGGACCATGCAATGCACGGCTTTCTAAACTCCACCAAATAATGCCATACAACGCCATGGCGAGCATTTTAAGGTGAAAATAGGATGTAAGTCTTCCTGCAGCCTGAGGTCCTCAGCCCTTCTCCTGTGGTAGACGCACTGTAGGGCTCCCAGTGAAGCAGCTGCCTGGTGTGTGTACCCTGCTGAGTCCCCTGTGCGTCCTCCTGCGCTGACTGATGGATGTGTCAGAAGGGGGGTGTGTGCCAGGTGGGCGCTTGAGCTTAAAGAAGGCCTAGCAGGGGTGTCCAACCTTTTGGCGTCTCTGGGCCACACTGGAAGAAGAAGAGCTGTCCTGGGCCACGTATTAAATACACAAACACGAACAAAACCTGATGAGTAAAAAAAAAAAATTTAAGTAAATTGCTGCTGTTTTCTGTTACTTATGGCCCTCCCAGCAAGAGACGATATCCTCATACGAATCCATGAGTAAATTGCCAAACCTCCCCTCCTTTATGTGGGGGTTTGCACACCACACATCTTGTCCAGCACTTTAAAAAAAAAAAACAAAACTTAACAATAGATCTGCCCTGGCTGGTGTAGCTCAGTGGATTGAGTGTGGGCCTGTGAACCAAAAGGTCGCCAGTTTGACTCCCAGTCAGGAGACATCCTGGGTTGCGGGCCAGGTCCCCAGTAGGGGGCGCCGAGAGGCAACCACACATTGATGTTTCTCTCCTCTTTCTCCCTCCTTTCCCGTCTCTCTAAAAATAAATAAATACAATCTTTTAAAAAGTAGATCTTGGAGATGAGTCTAGATGTGTGCTGTTCAGTACAGTAGTCATTACCCACAGGCTACTTAAATGTAATTAAAACCAAACAAAATAAAAAATCCAGCTCCTCCTTCACACCGAGCACCTCTCAAGTGCTCAGTGGCCCAGCAACAACTTTGATGTGGTTCCATCCTTCCAGAAAGTTCTGTGGGACGGGGCTGCTCCGGACCCTCTCCTGCAGAGCTGCAAAGTAGCAGCTCTATTTTCTGGTAGACAGTTTCTGCTGTTGCCATGTCCCCGCCCCCCACCCATTCGTCTCGCAGCAGGTGGGAGTGTCTGCAGCAGAAACCCCCAGCATTTCTGGGCGCCAGGGCAGTTCTCATTCCGGTAGCCGCAGCCCAGTTCCTTGAGACTGGACCTTTGTAACACTCCGCACAACCACCAAGAGAGCCAGAGCACCCAGCTGCTCCCCACACCTTCACCGACACTGTTGTTCACATTTAAGACGATTAGCTAATGGTGAAAGTTTTCCAGACAAATGTGACTCCCAGGACACTTCTGCCACTGCCTCTTTCATGTCTCGATACCACGGGGCACCTTGCCATGTCGACACAGGGAGACCTACCTTGTCTTCTTAAAAAATTGGTGGTAAAACTCACATAACATGAATTTCACTATCTGAACTATTTTTAAGTGGACAGTTCAGTGGCCTTAGGTACACCCACCTTGCTGGGCAACCATCACCCCCGTCCACCGCTAAGAACTCCGTCATGTCCCCAAACGGACCCTCTGTGCCCGCGGAACACTGAGTCCCGCTCCTGCCCTCTCCCGGACCCTGGCCACCACCCTTCTCCTTCCTGTCTGCGTGAGTCTGACCCCTCCTGGCACCTCGTATAAGTGGAGCCTACAGCATTTGTTCTTCTGTGGCTGACTTATTTCACGACTTCCAGGTTCATCCATGCTGCAGTATGTATCATTCTTAAAAAAGAAAAAAAGACAGAAGACTGCCCTGACTTGTGTGGCTCATCCCGCAAAGGAAAGGTCGCTGGTCTGATTCCTGGTCAGGGCACACACCTGGGTTGCAGGTTCAATCCCCAGACGATCAATGTTTCTCTCTCACATAGATGTTTCTCTCCCTCTCTTCCTCCCTCCCTTCCCCATCTTAAAAAAAAAGACTGAATAATATTTTATGGTAGGCGTAGTCCACATTTTGTTTATCTTCATACATCAGTGGACACTCGGGTCACTTTCACCTTTTGGCTGCTGTGGATACAGGTGTGCAAATATCGGTTCCAGATCCTGCTTTCGGTTCTTTTGTGTAGACGCCTAGAAGTGGGATTGCCGGATCATGGGGCAGCTGTTTTCAATATTTTCATATTTTGAAACTTGAATAGGCATCGCGTCTCCTGCGGTGGCTGCACTGTTTCGCAGTTCCGCCCACCGTGCACCATGGCCCAACTTCTCCGCCGGCCACCGGCCCTAGGTGTCTGTTCTGCTCAATGACAGTCACCCTAGAGGGTAAGAGGGGGGTCTCTCATTATGGAGTTGATTTGCATTTCCTAATGATTAGGGATATTGAGCATCTTTTCATGTAGTTTTTTTTTTTTTTTGGCCATTCCTAGATCTTCTTTGGAAAAATGTCTGCTCTAAGTCCTCTGCCCATTTTAAGTTGGATCGTCTATTGCCAAGTTGTAGTTTTTAAAAAAATACAATCTGGGCATTAACTTCTTATCAGATACGTGATTTACAAATACTTTCTGCCCTTCTGCAGGCTACCTTCCTTTCCACTCTGCCGACTTTGTCCCGTGCTGCACAGAGGTTTTGGGCTGCTTTATCATCGGACCTATCAGCAAATCCCATATGCTCTGCTTTCAGAATAGATTCAGAATTTGACCACTTCTCCCCACCTCCGTGGCTACCAGCCTGGTGGGCCCACCATCCCATCCCTGGCCTCCACAACGGGCAGTTTCCTCCTCTCGGGGCTCCCCGACTCTGCCCTTGCCTCCAGTGCAGTCCATCCGCCATGTGCAGTGAGAGGGATTCTGTTCAAACCTGAGGCAGAGCCTGTCCTTCCTCTGCTCAGGGCTCCTCGTGGCTCCGGCTCACCCAGAGCAAGAGCCCACGCCTTTGCAGAGGCCCACAAAGCCCTGTGTGATGTGGCGCCTGCTATCTCTATGAGATAGTTTCCTGCTTCTCTCCCTGTACTCCACCCACAGCAACCACCTGGGCCAGGCGTGTTCCTGCCTCAGGGCCTTTGCACTTGCCATCCCCCCTGCCTGGCACACTCTCCCCACAGCTACCTCATTCCCTCGTCACATTCATGATTTTGCTCAAACGTCACCTCCCCTGAACTAGAACTAAAGTCAAATCCCCCAGCACTCCCCACCCCCCCTTGCTGTATTTTCCCTCTATGCTTATCAGAATTCCACATAACATGTACCTTCCTCATCTACCTTATTTACTGTTTGTCTTCCCCAAGGGTATTGTCAACTTCGTGGGAACAGGAATCGCTGTCAACAAGGCGGCAAAAAGTACTTGCTGCGTGACTAAGTGAAAGCGAGCGCTTTTTGACTGCCTGTTGAGCATTTTTATTTCTCCCAATGGCCTGCGCATGTCCTGTGAGCATCTGTCCTGTCCACAGTGCTGACCTCTGGATCCCAAAGCAAGGCACCCAGTAGCTCCTCCTTCAAAAGGATTCCCGTCACTCCTGCATTCCCAGCACTAGCCACATAGTGGCAGCATATGCTCAGGCAAGTTTTGCTAGCCAGCCCTGAGCGTTTCCCAGGACTTGCAATTCTAACCCCTAGGACATTGGGCTTGGCAGTCTTCCGGGATTTAATCTTAGGCCCATTAGGCGAGGTGGGTGTGGGGGCGGGGAGGAGGGAGTGGGTCTCACAGAGGAGGCCTGGTGTGGAAAACCTCAGACATTGGAATTGGGGTTCTGGCTTTTAAGACCAGCTCTCCTACCAGTTCACCACGATCTTGGGGGAAGTCTTACTTAACCCTCTGTGGGCGTTTTGCGAGGTTTTCGTGACTTGCCTTTTGGGGGGCTGGGGGGAGGTCTGATGTACCCCCACATGCCAGCTGGGGGAACATGGCTCAGAACTCCCAAGAGAGAGGGGGATACTATTAACTTTATAGATCATGGACTGAGGTCTAGAGGGGGACCCAGAGCACCCCAGCCAGGAGGCTTCAGATGGAGAACACAGTCCAACCCCTGCCATCCCTCCAGGCCAAAGCTACTAGAGACCATCTCCATGGACCATCTCTGAAGGGTCCCCTTTCTGCCTATTTTTCTGCCGGCTGCCTGACTTCTAGGCCGCTCTGCAAACACCTTTATTGCTCTCTGTCAGAGCCGCACCAACGGGATTTCCTTTGGGCGAGTCACTTCGGTTTTCTCCTCCTGGAATAGACCTCCGGAGACAGAGCCCTGAAAGCAGTTTCTGGGTGGAGGAGAGGGCCCACTCCCTCCACAGCCCCCGCCTGGCTCCTGCCCACTGCTGCTCGTGGCCAAGTGAGCCCAGCTCACAGGCTTTCGGTTATAAAAAGAGAAGCTGAAAATTTGAATTTTGATGTAAAGTCTCCCGACTTTTAAATGTTGGCAATACATTCGTTGAAAAAGAAACAAAACAAAGGGGAACACAGTGGGGTCAGACTGAATGTGTCTTTGGGGTGGGTGTGGCCACTGGCTGCCAGGGTGAGACCCTTTCCAGTCTCGGTTTCCACAAGCGCCCATGCAGGACGTAACTGGGAGAGAGTGCTGTGGGTGCTGTCACGTGTACTCCGGGTCCTTGCTGCCTACAAGGCCACTGGGGCGTGCTCCTGGCCTCTGGGTCACAGTGGTCTGGCTCCCGTTGGCTCCTCCCCAGGAAAGGCAGGGCATTAATGTTGAGGCAGCAGGCAGGGCTCATTGAGCAATGAACCTTGTAAAAACAAGGTCTTATGTCACCTGGGCAGGCACGCAGCCTCCCCGAAGGACACCTGGGATGGCACTGAGGTGGCAACTGCACTGATTTCCCTTTCAGGCCAGAATGGGGAGTCCTGGGCAGGGAAGGAAAGCAAAGAGCTCAGTGTTTGCGGGGTGCAGTTCCATCCCAGAGGCCAGAAGGGCAAGACCTGGTGGGAGCTGGTCTCCAGGGTCCGGGGTGCCTCTCGACCCCACGCCAACCTTCCCTGGGCCTCAGTTTTTCCACTCTGAAGATGGGGTTCCCGTTGCCAGGCCTGTTATGATTTGCCACAGACCCAGAGGGGAAGGTCAGGCTAGGAGGACTTTAGCCCTTCCCACTCCTTTGGTGGGACCTTCAGCAGCCACACACTTAGCTCTGCTCGGCCTCATTTTCTTCTCTGTAAAGTGGAGATAAGAACAGGACCTGATTCCTATAGATAATCAGGAGGATTAAATGAATTAATACACGCAGAGCTTAAAAACGGGGCTCAGAGACGGTGGAAGATTGGCTTGAGGATGTGAAGAAAATCCTCCAATGAGCTTTAGATGCCCCCCCCCAGGTACTGCTGCATCTTCCCAGAACCCTGAGAGTTGGGGGGTGCTGAGGCTGTGAGGGGCGCCATCCAGCCCAGCTACAGAGGGGCCTCACTGCCTTCATCCACTGGGCACCCTCCAAGTGCCGGACACTTTTGTAGGCACTGAGGCAACGGCAGTGAGGGAAACAGCCCTGGAGGGGCTGACCTGGGGAGGGGACAGCAGGGACAGAGAGCAAGATGAGTAGGTGTGCAGTAATTTTGACAGTAATGAGAAAGGCGAGGGAAACAGCAGGGGGATGTGACAGCAGTGACTGAGGGCAGGGGACCTTCCATGGGGAGGTCTGGGAGGCTTCTCTGAGGAGGCAGCCTTTCAACTGAGCCTGGGGCAGAGCTGGGGAAACAGTGTTCCTGGTCCAGGGGGCAACGGCAAATGCATTCACTCGCTGGCAAATAAATCTCAGGCTTGTCCAGCCCAGAAGTCCCGTATTTGGGGGACAGCCCTCGTGCAGTGGGCAGCCTGGGAAGAGACTGAGGTCGACAAGACAGCAAGGCAACCAGGATGCTGGTGGCTGGAGATAAGGGCTGGGGGAAGGGCAGGGAGCAGGGAGTTCACCGGCAGGTGGAGCAGGGAGGGCCTCCTGGGTGGGCCTCCAGCTCAGTCCTGAGTGTCCCATGTGCAACCTGGAAGGCCTGGCTGGGTGGCCCTGGGGCTTTGGATCCCTCCCTAGCACTGGGAAGGCCCAGAAAGCCAGCAGGCCGGGCCAGTGTTTCAACCCTGCACTCCACCCCCTAAAGGGTACTTGGAGATGTCATTTCTCCCGCTCTCTGCTCTGTTCTCCTCTCCGCTCTCCGGGGCAGAGGTCACCCCAGCTCAGCAGATAATGCTGAAGGTTGAGCAATGCCTGCTGGTCCGCCAGGGCCAGGGCTGGGGTCAGTGGGCCGGGGGTCAGCCCCAGGCAGGCTGGGAGCTCTTGCCTGGGCCTGAGGAGCTGCCTAAATGGCCTAGGAATGGGACTGGAGAGGGCAAGGGGCTGCTGGAGCCCACTCAGCAGGGAGGGCCTCAGACACCCTTTCAAATCCAGGGTGGCCATGGGTTTTGGCAACTGTGAACCAGGGGCACTGGCCTGGTTTTCGCTTTCAGCGAAAGCCTAACACTGGCAGTGGGAGAAAGTGAGCCCTGGGCCCAGGCCTGCTGGCGGGCATGGCGGAGCCTTGGTAAATGGGGAAGTCCCTCCTCTCTGCACGGCCCCCATGGGGCCTGGCTGGACCCCCTCCCCACCAGTCTCAGAAACAGGTTTTGTGACCTCGGGTTGGCAAACAGATATTAAGGCGCCCAGGTAAGGATTCTTCTTTCCAGACTAAGGGGGGGACATACAGCCACATGACTTTGGGTGTGGTAGGTGCCCTCCAGACCTCTTTGTACCCTCTGGGGCAGGCTCTTCTTTCCGATGTGCTTCCCAGAGTGGACTTAAAACTAAGCCTTATGTGTGGGCGTCCGTGGTGGAGACAGTAATACAGCTCATAACAGGGAGGACACCTTCGTGGAAACTCAGAGAAGTGACTTCCCCAAGGTCACACAGTGTGGCAGAACCAAGCTCCTTGCCCACTTCCCCGGGGCCCAGGTCAGGGTCGGGTGGGGCTGGAGAAGACCCAGGTGTGGTCTAAGGGGGGGCGGCCAAGTGTGGTGGATAGGGCGAGGGAAGGGGCGAGGCCGACCCCCGCAGACGCCCAGAGGAGCGCGGCTCTCCTACCCCTGCGCCTTCGTATTGGAGGGGGATTTCAGAGAGAAGTCGCCACAGATGTGGAATCCCCTCCCTCCAAGAGCTGGGGACCGGGGCACATTTAGCGGCGGGGCCGCGTCCGGGAAGGGCAGTGGAGATAGTCACTTCTGCCGCAGACTGCACTCGACTCGGAGTTGCTGTCTCCAGGATGCCGCCTGGGGAGCATCCTCTCTGTGGGGCGTCGGGTCTGGGCGCCGCGGATCCTGAAGCCACAGCCTCCTCCTCCAGCAGGGGGCGGGCCGTCGCCGTCTGGGGGAAGGCGACCGTTTGCCCCCTCCCCGGATTCCCTCCTTCTTTCAGTACATCCTCCAAGCCCAGAGGGGCGGTTCGGGGGCGGGGTCGCACCTCCCCTTCTCGCTCCCAATCCCGGGGCAGCTGGGTGGGAGTCGACAGGGGGCGTTAGGCCGCCCCCCGGGGCCAGGCCCTCCGGGGCCAGGGGACCCCCCGAGGGTGAGCTCTCGGTTTTCGGTCAGGCGGCCTACCTCTCGGGGGTCTCAGGCAGCCACAGTGTGGCCACGTCCCGGCGGCAGCGGGAGGGGCCCAGGCGTGACGCACCGTTGCCATGCGCCGCCTTATAAATAACCGAGCTCAGGAGAAACTTCAGCGAGTCAGAGCCGCGCACGGGACCGGGAAAGGGACCTACCCGAGGGTCCAGCCGCCAGCCCACGTACTAGTAGCGGCCACCTCGGCGGCAGCGGCGGCAGCAGCGGCAGTAGAAGAAGCGACCCGGCGCAACTGTTTGCAGCGAGGAGGCCGCGCCACCTGCGGGCCGGCCGGAGCGGGCAGCCCCAAGCCCTCTCCCCGGGCACCCGCGTTCATGCAACGCCTGGTGGCCTGGGACCCAGCATGTCTCCCCCTGCCACCGCCACCTGCCTTTAAATCCATGGAAGTGGCCAACTTCTACTACGAGGCGGACTGCTTGGCTGCTCCATACGGTGGCAAGGCGCCCCCCGCGGCCAGATCCGTGCCGCGCCCCTCCGCCGGCGAGCTGGGTAGCATCGGCGACCACGAGCGCGCCATCGACTTCAGTCCGTACCTGGAGCCGCTGGGCGCGCCGCAGGCCCCGGCGCCTGCTACGGCCGCCGCCACGGACACCTTCGAGGCGGCTCCGCCCGCGCCCGCCTCCGCGCCCGCCTCCTCCGGGCAGCACCACGACTTCCTCTCCGACCTCTTCTCCGACGACTACGCGGGCAAGAACTGCAAGAAGGCAGCCGAGTACGGCTACGTGAACCTGGGGCGCCTGGCTAACAAGGGCGCTTTGCATCCCAGCTGCTTTGCGCCCCTGCACCCGCCGCCCCCGCCGCCGCCGCCGCAGCCCGCCGAGCTCAAGGCGGAGCCGGGCTTCGAGCCCGCGGACTGCAAGCGGAAGGAGGAGGCCGGGGCTCCGGGCGGCGGCGGCGCAGGCATGGCGGCTGGCTTCCCGTACGCGCTGCGAGCCTACCTCGGCTACCAGGCGGTGCCGAGCGGCAGCAGCGGTAGCCTGTCCACCTCCTCGTCTTCCAGCCCGCCCGGCACGCCGAGCCCAGCCGACGCCAAGGCTCCCCCAGCTGCCTGCTATGCGGGGGCGGCGCCGGCGCCCTCGCAGGTCAAGAACAAGGCCAAGAAGACCGTGGACAAGCACAGCGACGAGTACAAGATTCGGCGCGAGCGCAACAACATCGCGGTGCGCAAGAGCCGTGACAAAGCCAAGATGCGCAACCTGGAGACGCAGCACAAGGTCCTGGAGCTCACGGCCGAGAACGAGCGGCTTCAGAAGAAGGTGGAGCAGCTGTCTCGCGAGCTCAGCACCCTGCGGAACTTGTTCAAGCAGCTGCCCGAGCCCTTGCTCGCTCCCTCCGGCCACTGCTAGCGCGGCCCCCGCGCGCGTCCCCCTGTCGGTCGGCCTCCGCGCTGTCGGGCGCGGGGTGGCCGCGAGACTCCGGGAAGCGCCCGCGCTCCCGCTCCCGCTCCCGCCCCCGCCTGTGGTGGCGCCGGCAAAACTTTGGCACTGGGACACTTGGCAGCGCGGGGAGCTCGTTGGTAATTTTAATATTTTATTATATATATCTATATTTTTGTCCAAACCAACCGCACATGCAGATGGGGCGCCCGCCCGTGGTATTTAAAGAAGAAATGTCTATGTGTACAGATGAATGATAAACTCTGGCTCTCCCTCTGCCCCATCTGCAGCCGCCGGCGGGCGGGCCGGTTTCGAAGTTGATGCAATCGGTTCAAACATGGCTGAACGCGTGTGTACACGGGACTGACGCAACCCACGTGTAACTGTCAGCCGGGCCCTGAGTAATCGCTTAAAGATGTTCCACCGGGTTGTTGATGCTGTTTTTGTTGTTGTTGTTTTTTTGTCTTTTTTTTTGTATTATAAAAAAATAATCTATTTCTATGAGAAAAGAGACGTCTGTATATTTGGGAATCTTTTCCGTTCCAAGCATTAAGAACACTTTTAATAAACTTTTTTTGGAGAATGTTTAAAAAGCCTTTTGGGGGCAGTAGTTGACTTTTGATTTTTTTCCTTTATTTTGGATTTCCATGATTTTATTTGGCTTTTCTGGTGGGGGGGTTGTTGTGCCTGGGGGCTGCTAATTTTTTGGGCTGTTGGGTGGGGGGCGTCAGTTAGTCTTTCTCCTCTGCTGCTCCCCGGGAGGGACTCTGGAGGTGGGAGTACCGGGGCTGGGTGGGAGAAGGAGCAGAAATGTGCTGGGTCACCCTCTCGAGATGACTCAGGGCCCCTGGGTGCTGGGAGGAGTGACTGGGGCCCCTGCCTGGGGATGGGGTCCACGATCTCTAGCAGGTCCTGAGCGCCAGGCCTGGAGGTCTGCACAGTGTTTAGGGCCTGTGGTTGTTGGAGGAAGGGGTATAGGTCTTGGTTCTACTGAGCCCAAGTTGGGGCCGGTTCTTTTGGTAAGTGTAGTGGGCTGGGCTGTTTAAAAAATACTTTGTGTTTATATAGATTTTTAAGAGAGGAGACTGGGTGTGTGGGAGAGCTTGGGTTTGTGTGTTCCTGGCCAGTTTGGGTGTCCCTGGCCAGCAGGAGGGGAGAAGCCCGGCCAGATGGAGGGAGGTGGGGGGAGGGGTTTCTGCCCTTCTACCCCCTTTTCTCGGGGTGGGAGATTGAGCGCTTGCCCTCTTTGCCCAGATGTGGACACGAAGGCCCAGCCTCGCCTGCTTGTTCAAGGTGGCCGAGCCTAGGTTTGAACCTGAGGCCCCTGTTCCTGATTCCCTGGGACAGAAACAGCTCCTGGCGAGGCTTCTGCATCCCTGCCCCCGATAGCCTCCCACCCCTTTCCACTGTACCCACACCCCTGTTCAGCCCTGGATCGCATTCCTGAGAGTTGAGGATGTAGACGGAGGGTTAGTGGATACATGTACGGCATCCCGCGGTGCCTGGCACGCAGGAGGTGTTATATAAGCCTTTGCTCTTGTTATTATTTTTCACTGGGAGACTCTTGGCATTTGGCACCCGGTCTGCAGTGCAGTGTGAGTGTGGCAAAGGCTTGCCAGGGGCCAGGCGTCTGTGTTAGCCCTGGACTGGCCCCATCTCATTTAAACTTCACAACCTTTGCAGAGGTGGGTACTATTATGAGGCTGTTAGAGCAGGGTTGTTTTTTTTTCTTATGGGCCAAGGGACTGGTTCAGGGGTCCCTCTGCCTTAGGAATTCAGCAATGGGGCATGGAATTGGGGGGGGTTGGTTCATAGATTATTTTGCCAAGGGCCTGGGGCAGCTTGGATGTGGGGAGCAGCTGTTGATTCTGAGAACGCAGAGTGCTTTTCTCCTCCCTCTGCCTGTGGGAGCCTGGAATGTGGGGGACGGACACACTTTTTCTCCACCATCACGGAGCCGAGGATCAAGGCAATCTCCACATCCCTAAGGCAGGTGCCTCCTGGCCTCCTCTTCTTGGCACGAGGACTGCGTAACCTCACTTCAGATCTGGCCCTCCCCACCCCCCGCACGTGGCCCCAAACAGGTCTCCTCACTGTGGCCCGCGGTGTGACCCTGGAGCTTCCAAGTCAGTCCAGCACTAACCATGACACATCTGCCCAACTACCTCTACGATTCACCGGCTGAAGTTCAAAGGCCAGGGCTATGGACCTAGGGAAGGGGGTGGCTCAGTCTTTGGGGTGGGGGGAGGGTCGCAGTTTAGGAACGAATGTCTCCCATCCCAGCTCTCCCCCTGTGTCACTGAGCATGGTCTGGCGGCCGCTGCTCACCCACTTTGCAGAGGGAACGGAGGAGGCGAGGTTGCGAGCAGCCTGGTCAGATGGCGACACCCAGGTTCTGCTTTCCTGGGCACTGCCGGCCTGGAGCGCGGCTCTTCACATGCTCACCTGCCGCTGTAACCCACATATCACCCGCGGGAGGCAGTAGACCCATTTCACAAAAGTAAACCGAGGCCCACCTGAGTGGTGCTGGTGCTCAAGGTGGAGCAGGGGCGGAGCTAGTGATGAGATCGCAGGCCTCTGGGGAAGGCTTAGGATGGAGAACCTGGCTTGTAATCCCAGCCTCCTCCCATCCTCACCACCCTGCCCTACATCCTGAAGCCTCCCTGGAGGGCTCCCCACCTGGCCCCAAGCTCGGGCACCCCAAGCGCCACAGTTCAGTGACTTGCACGTGGTGTCACAGTTCGGAAGCAACAGAAAGGAGATCTGAACCCGAGCCCATCAGACTGCCCCGGAAGAGGGCCGGGAACACCAGTGCTCAGGCCAAGGGCTCTGCCGGTGGCCTGGGTTGCCCAGCGTGGGAGCATGGTGGACAGAATTGTGCCCAAGGACTCGAGAACTGTCATAGATTGGCGGGTGTCCCCACCCTATGGTGCACTAACTAGGCTGGGAGGGAGAAAGGCTTGCAGGGGGGAGGGACCACTTCATTCAAAAGCCAGGAAACAAGAAAGAGCAGGTGAAGCAGGAGGGGAGAGCCCAGGAGGCCGGGGATGTGTGAGTTCAGTGCTTGCTGTGTGGGAAGCACCACGCTGAGGCCTGGCCGGATCCTTCCAGCTGCCCGGGAGGGCTGTCGGTATTAACCACAGACCCATTTAGTGGGGCTGACCACTGAGGCTGGCTGGGAACCCTGCCAGTGTTTGCTCAGGACAGCATAGTTGACAAGACACATTCACGCCTCATAACCTCGTGCAGTTGCCCCATGACTTGCTGATGCTACCAAGGAGAGGAAGAGGTGTCAGAAATGAAAGCTGGAGACCCTGCTGGGTGCCAGGCCCTGTGCCCAGCGTGTGTTGGTCCATTTAATCAGTCTCTCGGAGGACTCAGCTTTGCTACTGGCATTTTCCTGCCAAGCACGCAGGCTCAGAGGGGGAAGTGGCCTCTCCAAGGCTGCACAGCTAAGAATGGTAGAAGTCGGAGTGGCAAAGGAAAGGCGGATTCTAGGTGGAGTTTAGACTCCGCATCAACACCTAAAGAATGTTTCCTCTCCTGAAGTCCTGCCCTGGCCTCCCTGGGACTGTTTTGTCCTTGTCTCTGAGACATTTGTCCAGTTATTTTTTTCTTTATTTGTTCGACAAGCATTTATGTAGCACTTGCTGTGTGCGAGACCTACGCTGGGTGCTGGGGACCTGTGATGAGCAAGATGGAGGTGACAATTAATAGGGAGAGACAGACACGAAGTATCCAGTGACAGGAACAAGATAATGAGAGGCGGAGACCTGGGCTCTGAGGGAAGGAAAGTGGGACAGGGAGGGGTGGGCAGGTCCCGGAAGGCCACTCCTAGGACGGCGTCTGAGCAGGTGCTGACTGAGGGGAGGCGTGAAGGGGAAGAGCCTCGGTCTGTTGAGAGCCCACCTTTCACCAGGTGTTGCTGCGCCCGTGTCCTCACAGTGGCCTGGTGACGGGAGCACTGTGCTTCAGTCTCCTGCCCTGGTCGGGACAGTCTCAGAGAGGCAGAGTCACCGGCCCGCCAGCTGCTGAGTGACTGATGTGCGGCTTGAATTCACACTTCACATTCAAACCCCAGAGGCCTTGGCCTACTGCCTCCCCCATAGCCCCAAACCTCTCATTTGCTCTGGTTTTCTGCCCTTGCCCCTGTTTTAGTCCCTTTTTCCCCCCCTGGCTGACCCCATAGGTGACGTGTGGCAGAGTCCCAGTGGCCCCAGCTGGCCACCAGCCGCCCACCCTCCCCTTGCTGGGGGTTTCCAACCTTGCGCTGACCACGCAGGGCAGTGAGGGAGGCTGGGCTGGGTTGGGGAACGGGGGCGGGCATTCTGAGGCTCCGGGGCATTGGGGTTTGGGCCCCTCCCAGTGTCTCCACAGCCAAGAGGCAGTGGGCCCATTTCAAAGAGCAGGGACCTGAGGCTTTGAGAAGGAATGTCACTCGCCCACAAAACAGAAAGGTTGGGATTTGCACCCAGGTCTGTCTCAGCTCAGGCTGAGCCACTTTTGTGTCTGCCAGTCACTCACTGCCTTGTGGGGAACAGGTGGGCAAGCACGATTTCAATACCATTTGAGGGGTCGGATGGTGGGGGGGACTCCGGGCTCTGCTCTTTGCTGGCTGGGCAACCTTGAGCAAGGTGCTTGGCAAGTTTGGGCTGGGGCTTCCTCACCCGTGAACAGAGAGAGTGCCAGCTTCCATTTGAGCAGTGCCAGCAGTCCCCATGGGGACCCCCTGGGGACCTCTACGGGCCTCGTGCCCCTGGGGCTGACTTCCCGTGGGAAGACGGACAGCAGACAACTAGTAAACTGGCACATTGGTTGTAGATCGTGATGAAGGCCCTGGGGGAAGTGGTACAGGGCGACTGGAAAGGCTGTTTCAGAGAGCGTTCTAGGCAGAAGGAGCAGGTGCAAAGGCCCTGAGACAGGACAGAGCTCAGCATGGCCACAGCAGGGCAGCCAGGGGTAGAGTGAGGAGAGGATAGAGGGGTGGCAGGGTCCTCCATGTGGGGGCCACAGGGGGCCAGGGTGAGGCTGAGAGGGGTCGTTTTGAGGGGTTCACGCCGGGTCTGACACCCAGCGACAGGTTTGTTAATGGGACAAAGCAGGCCACGTGGCCTCTGGAGGAGGCCAAGTGCAGTGGGCGCCTGGGTCCAGGAGACCTTGTGGGTGAGGAGCCTCTGACCCAGGGCCTGGAGCCATTCGGAGCTGTTCACCAGGCAGGAATGAGGGCAAGGGCCTGCCAGGAGGCGGGCACAGGCGGGGAGCCAAGAGAGGGAGAGTTCTTTGGGAAGCCTTGACTGCAGGGGAGAGGGCACCGAGGAGGGGGAGAGGTGAGGCTGAAGAGGCAGGCAGGGCACGGACTCCCTGCAGCCTCTGGGGCAGGAGTTCTAGGGGGCTGGGGTCACGCAGGGGGCTGTTTTCATCAGATTTCCCAAGTAGCGCATGGTCTCGGGGGCTGTGGAGAATGCAGTCTCAAAATAGGACACAAACAGCACCCGTGATTCTGCTACCCAGAAACAAACCCTGCTGACTCCTGCTGTGTGGCCTTGGGCAAGTCACTTCACCTCTCTGTGCCTCAGTTTCCTTCTTTATAAAA